AATGATCCATGAGTTGAAGATATCATCTTTATATTTTATGAAAGAAATGATTATAATTTGTTGAGATAGCAAGGAAAAGATTCTTCTTCTCTGTCTAGAATTTCAAACCTTTCATCTTTTTGTCAAGAATTCCATTTCTTTCATCTTAATCATGTCATCCATTCATACCTATCAATTCCATCTCTCTTTGTTCTTATCATCGTATCCTCATAATAAAAAAAAAGGGGGCTTTTGTTTTATTCATGCTACTTATAAAGAAAGTAAAGATAACTCACATGGAGTCAAAGCAACAAGAATCCCAAAGGAGTGAACTTAATTGTTGTCATGCATGATCATTTTGAACAGTTGACATATGATGTATTCAGAAAATCTAGCTTTTGTTGGTGATATGATTGAGTCAATTATAGATGCGAGCATGCAATACAAAACTTCAAATTGAGGGGCAATTGCAAACCCAAGGCAAATTCTTTTTCCAATAAATTTGCATCTCGAGATCACAAGGTAAAACCATCTTCAAACTCCTTCATGACATTTCCAAAAGCATTTCTATAAAAGGCAATTTTTCAATTCATTTTCCAGGACAATTTTCTCAATCATTACATTTCTTACCAAATAAGCATTCCATAACATTTCTATACCAACATGACATATCAGCATAACATTCCATTTCATTTTCCTGCCAAATAAGCATTCTATTATATTTCTCTACTAACATAACATTTTACTACTTTGGTCTGTAAGCATCAATTTTCACATAACTTTTCGTGCAAACATTTGAGCTTTTTTTCATCCCATTTAGCCCAACATGCGGCTAGCATTTCATTTATGCCCAACATGCGGCATTGCATATCATCAGCCCAACATGCGGCTTGCATCTCATTCAGCCCAACACGCGGCTTGCATTTCATTCAGCCCAACACGCGGCTCATATCATTCAGCCCAACACGCGGCTCATATCATTCAGCCTAACATGCAGCTCATATCATTTAGCCCAACACGCGGCTCATTTCACTCAACCCAACACGCGACTCATTTCATTCAGCCCAACACGCGGCTCATTGCATTTAGCCCAACATGCGGCTCATATCATTCAGCCCAACACGCGGCTCATATCATTCAGCCCAACATGCGGCTTTGCATATCATCCAGCCCAACACGCGGC